CTCATCAGTGAAGCCTCCCTACAGCAAAAATGCAACAAAGAAGGCTTCAACGTCGTGAGCGATGTGCCAAATTTTTCGAAAGCACGAATTGGTATCGTGGGCAACAATGAAAACGCTTGCACGACCAGTGATTCCCGAATCGGATTTGGTACCGCTGGATATCCAGACGATACCAATTCATGTGGCAACGAGGCCAAGCACGGTGGAGATAAAGGCGACAAATCCACCGAAGCCATGGGATACATCTTTGTTCAGTAGAAACAGTGGAACTTCAAGCATTGGGGGCTGGGCTAAGGTACTTGCTGCTAAACATAGTTTTAGTACATGCAGACTAAAAAGTGTTATTGGTGTAAAAAAGTAATAATTAAAAATGGATTATTGGGTGAAAGACTCTCTTCTATGTCTTTTATCATCTTGAAATATTTTTCAGTGGTTAACAAACCTGTATTCTGTGATGGAGAAAAAGGCGAAAAATTCATCAAATTCTCACTGTCCATGCACTCTAGCACTGCTATCACTGAAACAGAATCGGGACGAGTATTAGAATAGGGGCGCTTGTGAACAAAAACAAAATTCGAAGGGGGGGAAGCTTATAGAGGGAAGCACTTATGCGAAAGAGGACGCTAAGTCGAAATAATACGCTAGTTGAAATAAGTATGACTGAATAACCGCTTGTTTTAAATTTACAAGGACTTTGCCTGCAACATATTATCGAAGAACTCTTGAGGGGGCATCTCGGAGAAGTGAAGTTGTTTGTGAGGAAAAAACATGTCTAGCTATAAACCTTGCTTCTCATCACACAACGTGTTGCAGCTAGATTTCCCTTTCTATTCTATTAACGGTTTTGTGTGAAGTTGCGCGAGGATTACGTAGCTGTTCATATTTATCCTAATCAATATGCGTTTGGTTTCGTTCGTTCGCTGTAACTCAGTTATTCAAGAAGAACGAAGTTGTTTTTATACACTTGAAAGGTCAGTTAACAACGATAGCCACACATTTTCGGTAACATGGCTACCTGGTCTACCGGGGATCGTAGACCCAGTAAGTATTACAAGCCTAGTGGCAGGGTACATTCTACCTCGACACAGCGGCAAAATGAGAGCGCATGCTAACCAAATTTGGCGCGTTCAAGGGGCTTTTCATGAATGCAGCGTAAATGAACTTTGTTGGGGGAAGATCAGAACGTCGTTTTGCACTTTTCTTAGACTATTACTGTTGAGAACCAAGTGGACTAGTGATAAATTTTGTTCCTATGGAAAGGTCTAAAGGGTATGTAGCAACTTTTAACCATAATTCATCGTAAGCTGTTTTAACTTCAGCCAGACAGCTAAAGCGGGAGAAGTCACTACGAACTTAGCCAGTAGCCATTCTTACATCTGTTACCACAACATTTTTTTTTTGAGTGAGATATGTCACTGAGGATGTTTGAAAGAAATTTTCCTGAAAACGACAAGCTTATCTGTTTTGTTTTGAGCTTATCCCAGCAAAATGAAAGCGAACAATGCGAAGTTTTAAAATGCCGCCATTTTGCGTAATCTTCACTTCAGAAATGTTGACGTTCCAATTTCTTTGCGCATGTAAAATTTGCCGTGCGCTAGAACCATGCGCATTCACTTTGAAGCTGTATTCGCTGTGTCGAGTTTTCTGCCTCAATTCTCCTGGCTCGTGCGCCTTTGAATGAGTTGAAAGGCTTGAAAGGAATAGGAAACTCACACGTGCGCACCATGTTCGCGGGGAAAAGAGTGATCACTCTATTAATGATCGGATGAAGTGGTGGAAATTCTTCAAGGTCAAACAGGGATCTTGGAGTGTTGATCATGTACAGTGATCGAGAACCTTCATTGACCTTATTAGCGGTAAATATATTCATCGAGCGCGGACATGTGAAACCATGTTTGAAAGTTCTGAAAACCTGTCAACGGACAGTGACCTGCGACTTTGAACTTCGGGTAAGTAACGTCAGCCCAGATGGTGTCATTATATCTTTTTCGTGTAATTGCTGAACAAAGTAGATTTTTTTATGTCCTATCTAGACTTACTGAGCCTTAATGGCATATTACTGACTTTCAAATTAAGGGGTTTTACGCTTTTTAGAGGGGTTTACCCAAATATGTGAATATTTCACTTCCTGTTATCCAAATTTAACGATCAGGGAGATGAAAGAGGCTGCGTTAATGAACCTTTTTTTTCTCTCAGAACTCGCCTCCCTAAAGTAAGCAATCCAAGGGGAATCGTACTTTATTGGTTGTTTTCGAAAGCCAGCAAAAAACAACTTGATTCGAAACAGCAAATGTCATTTACATTTACATTTTACAATCCAGTCCTTCTCTTTTTCATAAGCAAACACGAGGTACTCCTTAAGCTCAGCTAGCTTCCCTCATACATACCTATACACTCCCATAAGCACAACATTAGCAGAACAATGAGCGCTTTAACTTACTTACATCAGGACTTCGGCGGTACTTTCCCGATTAAAAGAAAAGCTAAACAGCCTTGCGTTTATTACTACACTACTACACTTTCTTTGTTATCGGTCGTGGTTGTTAGGGGCTAATATGTGACATCATAACTATATGTGATATCATTTACCAAAATGGCGGCTCAGTATGAAACATCTCAAATCAACTAAAAGAATTTTAAGTCTTTTCCGCTGGAAATTTCAGCAACTACTTTTGGTGCTGTTCGCTTTTCTTCAATTTGGAATTAACTTAGTTTTGATTGATTTGAAAACAGGTGCCAGAAGGCTGACCTTCATGTAAATCAGCAATTTTCTGTTGCACCTTGTTTTTGATGTTAAATGTAATTTTTGGTTTAAGAGTCGTTTAGATGCACATACCTTTGATACATTGAGTGAGCAGCTTTCGAAAGATCAAAATACAGTCAGATCTGTTTGCCTTGCGGTTGCACTCCTGATAGGTGCATGGGCATATGCAAACTCTGATCAGCAGTTGTTTCTTGACGCCGTTGGTAACTTCTTTTTTACATCCATGTTCTTTGATACTCATTTTGTCTCACCACGGCAACAACTGGGTGAGACGACGTCTAAGCAATATGAAATACCATGGTCATCTCATGAAATGTCTCTTTTAGCGAGTTAAATCTACCTGAAGACCAGAGATATTTGAATAAGTACCGTTTTTATATATATGTATTCATCAGTAGTTAAGAGAGAGTATCCATAAAAGCGGTCCGGCCGATCTGGCTAAGAAAATAGATTTCGCATATTTCCTGTATACTGAAAGACTTTGATTTAACTGGGTTTGGTGTTTGTTTCATAGAGGCGTGACATTTTTCGTAAAATCGACCAATGCTACCTTAAATTTGAGCCTCGATGTCGGTCGCCACGAATGTTCGCTGAGGTGATCAGAAAATCTCTCATAACTGTATAAATTTAAAAGATCCGATCAAGCGGATTGTGGTTTTATTATTAGGACATCAAAGTCTCAGTATACAGGAAATAAGAGAAATCTATTTTTTAGCCAGATCGGCCGGACCGCTTTTATGGATACTCTCTCTTAAGTTTCAATTTCGATTTTTGCTAAGAAATTGGCGCGGTGTCATAATAAGAGTTCTCAAGACATTATAACCTTTTGGAGTCCCTCATTACGAAAAATATATTTTAAGCCGGTAAGAGAGAAAGTAATACTTAGAAAAGGGGGATTATGACGCATTTTGAAAACAACCCTGATTTTTAAGGCAACTCAGGAGATGTAACCTTGATTTCAAGTCAACCTTGAAATCAACCTTTATTTCAAAAACATTTCTTGCACATTTTGGAGACAACCTTGATTTCAAGGCAACTTGAATCTTTCACAGGTAAAAATATTCACTATGTCTCACTCGTGAGTTCTGAAGAAGGTGTGAATATTATCATCTCCAGTGATCCTCTTGAACGATTCATTTGAATGATTCTCTTGTCGCGTCATCGGGGTGTTGAGTGTTCGGGTGAAGATTTCATGATTGTGGCTTCTTATCGTATGGTTTTCATGAGATTTTCATACGACAGGATCGGCATTAATATAGTATCTTCTCAAAAAGAAGTCATGTTGTGCCTTGATTTGTTCTTCTGTCAAAATTGTATCTTTGTAAATGAGAAGAGTATAACAGTCTGAGTTCAGTCCTTCATGAAAACGATCTCTAAGTTTTTCTCCGGTGTTTCCCTATACAAAACCATAAGAAGTTGAATTTCGTGCAGTAAAGTTGAAAAGTTTTTTTCCGTTACACCAGAAAGAAGTGTTTATCGCAGAATCTGCCAATATTCCATTCAGTGGCAACTGACAATTTTTCCATCCTCCTTCTGTCGGGTTTGCTTTTGTCTTAAATCTTGCTGAAGGTGCTACATCGATTAATTTACCTTCTAATCCTGTTTCATGATTTCAGTTACTACCAAAACTCATGAAATAGAGTCACTTGAACATTCCTTCTCGCAGAGACCCATAGATTCTACAACTTGTCATTTGCGGGCCGGCCATACGCGTGCAAATTGTGTTAATGAATGCTGTACTACAGCGCGCCTATATGGAGATATAAAAAGTCATCTGGAGGAGAAACGACAAATCAAGGACTTAAAGACTGATCTCCAGCTTCTAAAATCAAAACACAAAAGGCTAAAGGAGGAACGTGATAGTCTGCTTTAAAACATGCAGTCCAGTAAGCGTGCATATTCTCAACGTATTCTCAGATGTTTAATTAACAGCGACAAGGAGAAGTATATTTCTTATCTGAATGGCCGAGAGGTAATGGACTGGACGGCAATCAACACAGACGCCAAAAAAATCGAGAAGATTTGCTATGGGGCTGTTCCCAGGGCAAACAACGACCTCCAAGAACCAATTCGAAAACACAATTCACAAGAGAAGTTCTCGTCGTTGACACTGGGCTCAAGTAGCAGATCCAATATGGTTAAAGAACTCTGGGCGAAGAATGGGGTCACCTTTCCGGGAACTGGTCCCATATGCCCGCCTTCGAGATATTCGATACCTGTGCCTCAGACACCAGAGGAAGGACACTAAAGGCCCCATGCGCTAGCACTAACGATGCGTCCGAAGAAGATGCGTTGTCTCTTCTTGCAAGTGCAGCGAATTTGTTGTCTGATAATTCAACAGAGTATTAAATAAATTGACAATTATTTTGACTCAGATAACAAGAGACAGTCGTCTGACATTCAGGCCACGAGAATTTTAAATCTCAGCCGTTGTTAAAGTTACATGTAATTGCACGTTTGTTTTAAAAGAAATTGTTCTTGAAATCGAAAAATAGCAAAGAAAATAAGTTGTCACTTCCAGCAAGTAAGTGTTAGTTATTTTCATTGAGACAACTTGATTCTTGAAAATTATAATTTTAAACTAATTGCAGGTTTGCATCAGTTGCACGTTTCCGTTTC